ATATATATATATATATATATATATATAATATGAATTTGAGTTAGAGTTTTTGTGAGTAGAATGATATAAGAATGGATCTTAATTGGAGAAAGAACCCTCAAAGTACAAAAACTGCGACCTTTCTCCCTCTCTTGAATTTGTTACTCCTATCCTCCCCCTTTTATGACTCAACGATTATTTTATTTCTTCTTTTTATATTATGAATTATATTTTTTTTTATTTTTATATTGTGAAATTAGGATTTTTTATATTTTAAAAAAGAAAATTAACATAAGATATTGCAGTATCTTAAAATTCAATACTAAAAATATTTTTTCACGAGTGAATAATTGAAAGCAATTAAAAAATTAAAAAAATTCATTTTGTACTTGTAACAAATTTTAGATTTTTTTCTCCTAATTGATGTTTATAAATTTCTAAGATATTTTAAATGAATAAAAGTGTATAAAAGACAAATTTTTACTCAAATACTAATATAAAATGAAGGGACATATTTAGTTATAAGAGAGTAGGGTAGTTGTCCAACTGTTTTTTTAATCATTTATAAATTTATAAACAAAATATTTTAAATCTACGAAATTTTGCAAAGTTCACAAAGTCTCACAAAATCCATTAAAATCTTAACTTAAAAGTCTTGCAAAATTCATTAAAATCTTAATTGAAAGTCTTGCAAAATCCTACAAAATCTTAAAAGTCATGAAAATTCTACAAAATCTTTTAAAATCCACAAGACTTTTTTCAACTAAAAAAGTCTTTTAAAATCCTAATCTAATACACCCCCTTTAGTTAGTAATTGTATATAATTCCTTTTCTTTCTACCTCCGTATAACCAAATTACTAATTCACTAATATTAATATTAAGAAAACTAAAAAAAATAAATTTTTATTTTTGAAAATATTTTTGCACTATTTTTTTTTCATAATTAATATTGTTAACTTTTTTAACCAATTATAATACATATATTTTAAAGTGTCTATAATTATAGATTCCATCAAATTAAGAGAACATATTTTAATTAAGATCACTTTAATTTTGAAATAATTAACATATCAAATATTATGAATTTGATCTTATATAAAAAAATAAATAATTACTTTAAATTGGATATTATAAATCTATACTAATATATAAAGGGCATACCCTTTTAGTAACTACCTTGGTTTCCATATTTGGTTGACATTATACCCTTTAATTTATATATATATATATATATATATATATAATATGAATTTGAGTTAGAGTTTTTGTGAGTAGAATGATATAAGAATGGATCTTAATTGGAGAAAGAACCCTCAAAGTACAAAAACTGCGACCTTTCTCCCTCTCTTGAATTTGTTACTCCTATCCTCCCCCTTTTATGACTCAACGATTATTTTATTTCTTCTTTTTATATTATGAATTATATTTTTTTTTATTTTTATATTGTGAAATTAGGATTTTTTATATTTTAAAAAAGAAAATTAACATAAGATATTGCAGTATCTTAAAATTCAATACTAAAAATATTTTTTCACGAGTGAATAATTGAAAGCAATTAAAAAATTAAAAAAATTCATTTTGTACTTGTAACAAATTTTAGATTTTTTTCTCCTAATTGATGTTTATAAATTTCTAAGATATTTTAAATGAATAAAAGTGTATAAAAGACAAATTTTTACTCAAATACTAATATAAAATGAAGGGACATATTTAGTTATAAGAGAGTAGGGTAGTTGTCCAACTGTTTTTTTAATCATTTATAAATTTATAAACAAAATATTTTAAATCTACGAAATTTTGCAAAGTTCACAAAGTCTCACAAAATCCATTAAAATCTTAACTTAAATTAAGCATAAAAATATGCAATTTGAGCACTTATCACTAAACATTAACTTAGAATGTCAAATTTAGTTTTTGCTTTTCCTAAATATAAAAAGTAGTAAAGGTAATTTTTTGATTTCATCATACTTTAGTTTTGTTGAATCTTTGTATGAATATGTCTGGATACATATTATAAAGAGTTTGTGAGAGTTTCTTTATTAAAATAAAATATTTTTAATAATTTTTTTTTTCAAAAACTCTTAATTATAAACTAATATCTAAATAAGGTCAATGGGGAAAATGTGATTAAACATGAATAAATTAAGAGTATTTGGGTTTCTTAGCCCTTCCACTACTCATGAGAAAATCAAACTAATTATTTTTCATTAAGTTACGATTTACGCCACACATCAAATAACTCATTCCATCAAATCTCCAAGGGATCACAAATTCATTAATTTAAGCTAAACATAACACATATATTTTTTTTTACCAACATACAGATTCAATGCTAGTTTGATGTTGGAAAAACTTCGAGGCAAGAGGATGATGTTTATTGGAGACTCCCTCAACCGGGGTCAATATGTCTCTTTGGTATGCCTTCTCCATCAACTCATTCCCGAACACGCCAAATCTATGGAATCCTTTGATTCACTCACTGTCTTTACAGCCAAGGTATGTATACCTCTTACCTTTTGCTTATGCACATTCACAATTTCATAGTGTTAGTGTTTCTTTGAATAATTTTCTCAAAAACAACTATAGGAAAAAAAAACAAAAAAAGAACAAAATTGAAATCAACTTTACTTTAAGTTAAAATTAACTTATTTCTAGTTAAAAGTAAAATCTTAAAGAAGCTAATAAGGGAATTTTTTTTACAAGTTAATTTATGCAAAAATTATTTCATTTTTTTAAAAGTATTTTTAAAGAAATTTACTTTAACAAATCCTTAGCTACATTATCACGCCTATTAGAATTTGTGATCATAAAAGGAAGAGAATAGAATGATCTTGATTATTTGAATGAATGAGTACAAGAGGGGTATTTATACATTATAATAATAAGAGATAAGAGATAAAACTGATCAATTATATCAACAGTAACAAACTGTAACAGAAAGATAACTAACTACCAGTTTGACAAATTCCCTTTACACCCCCCTTCAAACTCATGGTGGAAGCTGATGAAACCTTGAGTTTGGATCTAAATGTTGTAAATTGAGGATTCAAAATAGCTTTAGTGAGAATATCAGCAACCTGAAATTCAGCAGGTAGATGAATAACAACAAGCTCCCTTGACAGGACTTTATCACGAACAAAATGCAAATCCAACTCAAAATGCTTTGTGCGAGAATGCATGACAGGATTCGCAGTAAGGTGGACAGCACCTAAATTATCACAATAAATTCTTGGCAATGCAACTGGAACACGCAACTCTTTGAGCAAATTCTGCAGCCATAAAATGTAAAAATCTTTTCTTTTTCCAATGTTTTGAGTAAAACATTGGTGGCGACTCCATAGAACCTATTTTCAAAACCATTGATTAAGGATTAGTCTGGTGTCCGGGCATTCCTTAATTGATGAGATCTTTAAAAGGATGTTTAAACCATAGGTCGCAAGATCAGAAATTTTCGGGTTGCGACAAGCCTCTCCAAGCTGGACTGATATTTTAAGGCTTCAGTCGGCCTCCTCTAAGGTCAGGTAACCCTCTTTGTTCTTATACTTAATGTTTTCTTGTTGGTGTTGTGGGATGAAAGACTGCCCCCAGGTGGATGGGAAGGAGATGTTTGATGTGCCCCTGTGTTGGTGGGCAGAGAAGTGGATGACTGGCAGGGATTCCAATGTTGCCCATGCCGCTTGAGTATTGTGATGCCTCTCCAGGCGCCTTTATTGTGGGATGGTTGGTAAGATTTTGGTGTTGTTCTTGTCAAGGTGAGTATTGTAATCCTCTTCAGGCGTCTGCTTGTGATAGTTTTTTTTTCTGAATTTTATATTTGTTTAGCTTCGGCATTTTCATGTTTGAAGCTTGTCTTTTTCTGCTATTTTTCTAAATGCTTCGGCTTTTTCAACATGTATGAAGCTTGCCTTTTTCTGTTTTATCTTTTTTTTGTCATCATTGGTGGAGGGATCCCATCCCATGATGATGTTATTTGCTCAATCTTTATTGATGAGTATTATTTTGGAAGCCACTCCTGGCTTTGATAGGAAAACATTCCTGGTCTTGGCATTTTCATGGATCTTCCATCATTCGGTTGAGAAGTGAGGCGCAATGGTAGAATAGGGCTTGGTGGACTTGATTATTCTTCCTCGCCTGATTCTATCCCGTCTTGCTAACCACTTGTATGGAATGCCCTTGTTGGGGCTAGGTTTCCTGACATGATCTTGGCTCTTAAGGCACTGTTTAGTTGTTGATCTTTTTGTACGAGTGCTTCAGCCTCTTGATTCCTCCAACAAGTGATGGATAGACACACACAAAGAATGCAAGAATGCAAAGCAGAAATGGATTGGATTTTTTTTTTTTCAAATTTTTTTGTGAACTTATACCCTTTTGTGCACACTTGTGCCATATGCATGTTATGCAATGATGCTTCTATGCTAATGCTTACAATGCAAATTTATTTTCTTTCAAGAAATTAATCTATGTGCATTGATCAATGACATGGATTGTTAACCTTTAGCCTTGTCGAATTCAGTGTTGCTTCTTGAACCTAAGTTTGTGTAGTTCAGCCCTCTCGCTTGTACTGGATATGATATGTTAGCCCTTAGATTACGTATACCTAGACTCTGTTCTAGGACACCTCCATCTTCTCCTTGTGAATATATATATATATATATATATATATAATATGAATTTGAGTTAGAGTTTTTGTGAGTAGAATGATATAAGAATGGATCTTAATTGGAGAAAGAACCCTCAAAGTACAAAAACTGCGACCTTTCTCCCTCTCTTGAATTTGTTACTCCTATCCTCCCCCTTTTATGACTCAACGATTATTTTATTTCTTCTTTTTATATTATGAATTATATTTTTTTTTATTTTTATATTGTGAAATTAGGATTTTTTATATTTTAAAAAAGAAAATTAACATAAGATATTGCAGTATCTTAAAATTCAATACTAAAAATATTTTTTCACGAGTGAATAATTGAAAGCAATTAAAAAATTAAAAAAATTCATTTTGTACTTGTAACAAATTTTAGATTTTTTTCTCCTAATTGATGTTTATAAATTTCTAAGATATTTTAAATGAATAAAAGTGTATAAAAGACAAATTTTTACTCAAATACTAATATAAAATGAAGGGACATATTTAGTTATAAGAGAGTAGGGTAGTTGTCCAACTGTTTTTTTAATCATTTATAAATTTATAAACAAAATATTTTAAATCTACGAAATTTTGCAAAGTTCACAAAGTCTCACAAAATCCATTAAAATCTTAACTTAAAAGTCTTGCAAAATTCATTAAAATCTTAATTGAAAGTCTTGCAAAATCCTACAAAATCTTAAAAGTCATGAAAATTCTACAAAATCTTTTAAAATCCACAAGACTTTTTTCAACTAAAAAAGTCTTTTAAAATCCTAATCTAATACACCCCCTTTAGTTAGTAATTGTATATAATTCCTTTTCTTTCTACCTCCGTATAACCAAATTTGAGCAAGTCTTGAATGCCAAAGCTCCAAGGTTGTGAGTGAGAAATCTTTTGTAGAATGGAAAGCAGAGATTTTGTTTTGATGCTGAAATTTAGGAAAGACATAAAGACCCTTGCTAAACTTGCCTTGAAGAAGAGTCTCCTTGGTATGTTCCTGTTTGACATTACATGTATTAGCATGGAATTCAAAAAATACTTGATTATCTCGACAAAATTGTGACACACTAAGAAGGTTCTTTGTAATGGAGGGAACATGTAATAACTGGTTCATAACAAAGTGATTGTTTGACTCAGAATCATAGAATTTAGAATTTCCAATATGCTTAATGCTCAAACCTGAACCATTACCAATTTTTACACGATCATTCCCTGTGTAATCAGTTTTGACAGAAAGGTTGCTCTCATCATTGGTGATATGATGGCTTGCTCCACTGTCTGGATACCAGAGAGGATCCAAAACAGTTGTTGGTGTTGCCATGAATGCTTGATCAGATTGAGAAAACCCTTGATATTGAGTTTGATTTGCTTGAGGAGGACCCTGAAAGTCTTGATTAAACCGCTGCCAGCAATCAATTGCTAAGTGTCCATGCTTACCACAAATTTGACATTGTGGTCTATTGTTCTGATTCCAAGAATTAGTTGAGGTCTGTCCCCAGTTCAATCTGCCATTGCCTCTTCCATTGTTATATCTTCCTCCTCGATTGGAATTGTAACCACCACGAAAATTGGATTTACCACGATTGTTATATCCTCCTCTAAAATTCGAATTTTCTCCTCTGCCTCTCCCAGAAGGATAACTAGGTCCAGAAACAGTGTTAGCCAAAACCAGATTTGAATCAGCTTTCTTGTGTTTCTCAAAACGCTCTTCTTGAGCCATTAGAAGTGCCTCAATATCATCAACCGTGTATGGATCTAAACGTGATGTAACAGCAGTAACAAAAGAATCATAATCTTCAGGCAAGCCATCTAAAATTGCTTCTATATGGTCATCATCAGAAATCGCAGAGCCAATCGCAGCTAGTGAATCTACTATTTTCTTGATCGCAAGTAAATATTCTGAAATTGACTTATCTTTCTTAATCATTCGCAACTGTACCTTTAATTTTTTCACTTTCGCACGAGTCTGAGACGCATAATAGACTTCTAATCTTTTCCAAATCTGCCATGATTGTTGTAAACCAACCATCTTTGTGAGGATTGGTGCTGTCATCGATGCAAGGAGCCAGGCAACAAGTAACTGATCCTGTTGTTCATAATTGAGAAAAGCTTTACTAATCGTACCATTCTTTTCATGTTCATTGGACTCAAATTTCTTTGGAACATGTTCTTCATGAAGATATTTATTGAGCTTCAGACCTCGAACTGTGGCAAGGATTTGTTGTTGCCAAACCAGAAAATTCTCATCATCAAGTTTGATCGAGATCGGAGTTTGAAATGTTTGAGGATTGAAGGAGGTTTCGGAAGCCATGGTTAGAAGGCTCTGGATACCATATTAGAATTTGTGATCATAAAAGGAAGAGAATAGAATGATCTTGATTATTTGAATGAATGAGTACAAGAGGGGTATTTATACATTATAATAATAAGAGATAAGAGATAAAACTGATCAATTATATCAACAGTAACAAACTGTAACAGAAAGATAACTAACTACCAGTTTGACAAATTCCCTTTACAATGCCCCTCTTTTTTTTTTTTTACTATACATTATCATGCCCCTCTTGTTTTTTTACTCTTGTTCATTGTGTTGTATTTAATTAGGAATACAATGCCACAATTGAGTTCTATTGGGCACCTTTTCTTCTTGAATCAAACTCCGATAACGCTGTCATTCATAGGGTATCTGATAGGATTGTGAAAAAGGGTTCAATCAATACGCATGGACGTCATTGGAAAGGTGCTGACATTGTTGTATTTAACACTTATCTTTGGTGGATAACTGGCTCTAAGATGAAGATTTTGTATGTTTCTCTACTTTACTTTATTCAACCAATTATTTACTTTCTTCCTCACTCGTTTCTTTGCCAATGCCATTGCAAAACATTGGCTAAAGTTCTCCAATTTTTTAGACATGGATCTTTTGATGATGAAGTAAAGGAGATTATTGAGATGTCAACAGAGGAAGCCTATCGCATGGCTCTGAAAAGTATGCTTAGATGGGTGAGGTTGAACATGGACTCCAACAAGACAAGAGTCTTCTTTACCAGCATGTCACCTTCTCATGCAAAGTGAGTATAATTTGCAAGCACACACACATATATGATTATAAAATATCAAGAATACACTTTTAAACACATTCATTTTGATTAATTAAAGTATTTAAAATTATAAAATTTGGTGGGCAACGATCCTCTTTTTTTTTTTTTTTTTTTGTAGTTTTAAATAAATTATAATTAATTAAAAAGAGTGTGTTAAAATAAAAATGTTAGACAATATATTACTAGTACTTCTCATATAGTTATATGTACTTCTCATTATTTTTTTTAAGAGTGTTATTTATTTAAGAATTTTTTATGTGTGGAGGTATAAATTGTGGGGAACCATATTGTTAATGTATATATATGGCAGAAGCATAGAGTGGGGAGGTGAACCGGGAGGGAACTGCTACAACGAAACAACTCCAATTGATGATTCTGCATATTGGGGTTCTGATTGTAAACAAAGCATAATGCAAGTAATTGGAGAAGTATTTAGAAAATCTGAAGTACCTATTACTTTTCTCAACATTACCCAACTTTCAAACTATCGTAAAGATGCACACACATCAATTTACAAGAAACAATGGAACTCATTGACTCGAGAGCAATTAGCTAACCCTGTTAGTTATGCTGATTGTGTGCATTGGTGTTTGCCCGGACTTCCAGATACTTGGAATGAACTTCTGTTTGCTAAGTTTTTATATTCTTGAAAGAGATCATACTGTTCTCTCAGGTCCCTTGTGTGGCATGAAAGTTTGTAAATGGGAGACTACAACATTTTAGCTTGTTATAAAGTTGTATCCAACATGATAAAAGATCAGAATAATGAACAAGAGAAAAAGAAGAATACAATTTGTGAACAATAATAGTTAACATCGGTGGAAAAGGAGAATTGTATTATATAAAGTTGAGTTGATTATTTTTCCTTGTAATTGAAATTCCAAATTCTTAATTTTGCTAGTTACACTACAATGGTGTTGAGATGTATCTTATTTGAATTGCAATATGGATAATGTTTATAAAACATGTTTCATATTTAAAAATTCCCAAAGGATAAGGGCCCCATGCCTCTACCCTTTTAAGTTTATATTTAATTCAGAATTGCTATATTAATCATATAATAACACACTATTATTATTATTATTATTATTATTATTATTCCTTCCATTACATTAACCATTATATATAACGTTTTTTTATCTCTTTTATCTTATCATTTTTTTATATAAAATATTGTACAAACTAATTTACAAATTAATATAATTTCTCAATGAGAATATATGAACATGCCTCCTTTCATTTGTTGACATTTTTTTGTGGAGTCAATCAAGTTCATTACAATACGAACACTAAGCTTGATTTAGTTTAAACTTTTGAGACGTTCTCTATACAACAACCTTCGTCTTTTGAATATTTTCTCCGGTTTCTCAGCCCAAAACTTGTCCTAGACCAAAACTAATAGGAAAATTCTATTTGCACTCTTTATTTTTCTCTTTTCACCCCTACGTTTTTAATATAAAACTTTCCTTTCCGTTTAGGAATTTTCTCTATTAATAAAGGAAGTAATCAACAAATTTTTTTTTGTTATCAAGAAAGAAATGAGAGATTGGTTACTATAACAAATTGATAATCATAACTAATTTATCAAAAAAGAAAAAGACATTTTTTAAACAATGATGATCCTTGATTAGAGCTGAAGTTAATATATATATATATATTATATATATATATATATATATATATATATATATTTTGCATCAGAGTTTTCTAATAATTTAAATTTTCATCTTTTTATTGTTTTGTTTATCATTTTAATTATTGTTCTTTTTTTATTTTTTATTTAAGTACTTACTCAATCTTATTTTCATCATTTCTTCTTTTCCTTTTTTTATTTATTTAATCGCCTACTCAACCTTTCTTTTATTTATTTATTTTTAATTTAATAAAAGAAGTGAATATTCTTCAACATTTTTTGTGGATCTGATCTTACTCATCACTTTTAAAATATTTTCTAAGAAAAAGAGTAAGTTTAAATATTAGGAAAAATTCAAATCGCACATCAATTAGAGATTAGACAATTATATAATATATAAATAAAAAATAACTCTCACTTTATAAGTCAATTTTGTAAGATTAAGTTAGACTCAAATCTACTATTTTAACATGGTATTAGATATCTACAATTGATAAATGTACCAAGAGGAAAAGGAATAGTGCTAGATGTGAGAGGATGCATTGACTAGATATAAGACAATTATACCGAAAAACTACTAAAAATTAAATGAGTAAATAAAACGATGATCATAATTTTTACAGACATGAGTAAATATAATTTGAGTATAGGTTAACTATAATAACAAAAATATCAAACAAAAAAGGAAGAAAATGTATCTTAGAAAAAATAATTTCTATCGGTTCAAATTCACTTTAGTTATTATAATAAAAAATTTCATTTATATTTTAATATATGAAACATTATATATGAAATATTATATATATATATATATATATATATATATATATATTATTTGGTCTTTGGTGTGTAAACAAGATGCACACT